CAATTCCTAGTAAACAGGCCAGACTACATGACAGTAATCTCGTGAGTGGGTTCTTTAACGTTCCCTGCCTAACCAAATTAGCTTCTGTAATTAATAAAGGCTGATAGTTTCGAAAGAAACTGTTTGGGGCTGCGTCGGTGGGAGTAACGAAATAATTTGGATATGTTAGCCCTTCCGACGAAGGGCTAACGCTCGAAACGTCAGCTTTTGTAATCGTTACGGTGGCCAATTTACCACTTCAACTTTGTTGATATATCCAAATTATACTGTAATTAATAGATGCAGGAGACGGGATCTACGGTTTATTCGTCCTTATCCGAGATAACTAGAATGTCTATCCATTTCTTGTTATTATAGAAAGGTAGCGCATTCTCCTCGGTTCTTTTAAGACCTTGAGTGTTGGTCCGGCCGGGGCTCGAACCATCGACCTCGACCTTCCGCACAACAGTCCAGCGCTCTACCCAACTGAGCTAACCGGGAGGCGGTTAATCCACGTTTCCCTCCCAAAATCAAAGTAAGTAGTATTTCGGGGCGAGTTTTTTGCGCATTAAGTGGTGCTTTTATCGTTTTTATAATACCCCTGTTCTATGGAACCTGTATTAAGCACTCAACCGTCGTTAAGTGGTCACCTCGCCATTCCCCGTGGGCGACCGCCATATACAGGTTCGACTGTAGGTAGTTTTTCGTCTCCAGCACAAAGCATATTGCTGATGAGTTTTTTATTCCTTTAAATTTGATCATTTAGACAAATGCATCTATTTGGGCTGTTCGGCCTGCTTCAGAGGCTCTTTTAGATGCCGCTGCCAAGGTAGGTAATGACATCTTACGCTGAATATTTTCTACATCAACAAGAATACAACCGTGCACAGAGAGATTCCTGTAGCAAGTTCGTGCCAAAGTTTCTCTTTCATTGCACGAGGTGGGTTTCGTGTGACCAAAGCCAAAGTGATCACAGCGGCCAATCATGATAAAGAACACTATTTTAAGGAGCCAATGAGAGCTTCAAGGGGAAACATGTGACCTGCCGGAAGCGCGGGAAAACTTGAGTGACCAACGTGTAATTGGTTTCAGCTTTCCTTCTGATTGGTTGTGAGGGAGATGCGATTTTCTCGACCAATGACAGAGCAAAGTGATACAAAAATGATGATCAATCCCGAGTCATTTTTGGCATTCAATTGAAAATTTCACTGTTTGTTCTATTTTTGATGAATAACTAATAAAATATTTTTTTACCAGCACGTCATGTACCTAAGGGAGCTGCGGCTTGCTCAAATGGAGAGACTAATGGCAGAATTTCTTTATGGCGTCGATATTTACCTGAGTGTCGCTCGAGATTCCAAGGAGTTGAACCCTAAGGTAACAAGATATTATGTGATTTTTCTTTCAATTACATTTAAAAGAGAGAAATAATCCAAGGAAAAGTGCAACCGTCAAGTGATTAACTCACAACTTCGCCGCTCAGAGTCAATCAACCTAGTAAACAAAGGATAAGAATAGAAACTTCGCGGGAAGTTCGCAGCTATAATACAACTACACACGTCTCGTTGCTAATGTTCGGTCGTGCTCACTTAGTGGCTTAATAGGAATCAGTAACGACCAGGGCGCGAGTTATGTAGGAGCACATACTTCATACTGAGGTAACTCAGTGTTACAGGTCTAACCAAGGGAATTAGGTGTTTAAGCATAATTTACTCTCGCGTCCTTTATTGACCATACTCTTTCTAGGTGAAAGGTCAGCTGCTCCCTGCAAAGTTCAAAGAACTGAACCATTTCAATTACCGGCATCGGTCGAGGCGATATGATGGTGACTTCCATGAAGATGCAAAAGGAGTCGTACCAGAGGACGTGCTGGCCAGTCGGGATGCCTGGTGCGAAGGCGATCAGTTCACGCATGCGTATGAGAATAAAAAGGGACGTGTGAAGGAAACTGTCAACCCTATCTATACTCCCGTGGACAGGCTGAAGGAGAAATGGCGCGAAAGCGGGAGTGATTCTGACGGAAGTAACGTCACTTCAGAAAGCAGTGGATTTAGCATGGAAGCAGTAACACGAAATCAAGTCGCTGCAACTCTTGCTGTCAAGTCATCTTCTGTTTCAATTCAACCCCGCCCGCAGGAAATATTCACAGAGAAAGACTTTCCACCTCTGAACGGCCCTGATTCTAAGGGGCTTGGGACCCCACCTCGACAAAAGGAAAAACATCGTCTTCATTTGCAAGCCGATAGAAGAATGGAGGCAAACGTAAGGGAGACAGCCCATGCGCAGGAGCCCGGACTACAGTCTAATTCTGCAGAGCCGCCAAGTCTCTTACTACAACGTGCTAATGCTCTTTCGAGAGAATCCGCATCCTTGCCTGGCCGCGGGCGGGCGGGAGCTTTGTTGCGGCACGCCGCTCTCCCGGACGTGAGATTGCCCGCTGGGTACGATGGATCGGGATACTATCACTACCAGGCAAGTGGTGCTGATCGCTACGAAGCAGTTAGAAACGAATTCCACTTTCCCACCGATGAAGAACTCCTCACTGCTCCGGAGGTCGTTCCAGTTGCCGACCATCACCTTGTTGGTGGAACAACAGTAAGGATCAGAAAGACTTGACGTGATGTATGTTGCGTGACGCGTTACCTAAGAGGTGACGTTTGTTGCGTGACGCGTGTCTTAGGGGATGAAAGTTGGCGGGAAAAGTTCTTATCGTCGTGGGACCATCAACGTTTTTCCTGTCGCCTGTGCATTTCGCGCGAGGATTTGCATTTCTGCATTGGGATTTCGAAATAGATTTGCAATGAGGACGTGCATAATCGTGCATCATTTTTTTCGAGAAAGGACCGTCAGGAGCTCACTCCTAGTACGATACGGAAACTGTTTTTTATCAGCAAACGAAAAACGTCAAAATTGCATTTATTTACCAATTACATGTCAAGTTTTTCACGTTGAGTTGATACCACTCTGAGAAGCTGTAGATAGGGAAGAATCCTTAAACTTTCAGTGATGTCCAAACCACCGAGGTCTCTTTACATTTATTTCCCGATGTTTCCCTTGAAAATTCACTCAACCCAGTTGTGAGACCACACCGTCAAGGCGCAGATCGGAGAAAGTGGACATTTCGGTGGATCAATGGCGAGATCCAAGAATGCTGAAATGTGACTCAGTTGTTAGTCATTTGATTTTTTTAAAGGAACCTCTTTTTGAAAAAGACTACCAAAAAGCGTTTAAGAATTTCAAGGTGCAGTAGCTCGATCACCTTTCTGAAAAGGGTTAATGTCAGTGGTCGTATGATCTCAGGAACCAAGAGATTATAAAATGCAGTTTATAACCTCTTGCAGGAACCTATCGAAGTTTCTGTGGCTCTTATAAGCGACTGTTTGGGGGACGTGGTGGTCTTACGGTCAGTGCGTTGGACCGGGTGGAAAGGTCTGAATTCGAGACCTGGCTTTGTCACCGTGTTGTGTTCTTGGGCGAAACGCTTGACTCTCACAGTGCTCCTCTCCACCCAGGAATATCAATGGATACACGCGAATTTTCAGGGAAGCCTGATGTAATTCTGGGGGGTAACCTCAGGATGAACTGGCGTCCCATCCAGGGGGGGGGGGGGTAGTAATATTCCTAGGCACTTATGTTATGGAAACCGCGATAAGCTCCGGCTGGATTGGCCACTTGCCTCCACTACTAAACTTTCATTCATCGTGCGACGAAGAGTTTTGCTGCATCTCATCAGGGTTTGCCTGGCAGTGAACTGGTGCGTGTTTGTACTCCTGGTTAGAGAAAAGCACAGAGTGAGCAAAGTGTCTCGCTCAAGAAGGTAACCCATTGACCGGGTTAGAGGTCGAACCCAGACCCCTCGACGTGCTCGTTCCGGTCTTCATTGTGAAAGCCAATAGGTAACTGCATTCCGAGGCCTACACAGGGAGAGATTTCAGAAACCTTCACTTATTGTTTACCGTTTTTTTTTTTCGGTAGTTTTCGGGGCCTTTGTATTGTCTTTATTTGACTAGTTGTATTTAGTTTACATTTGTTAAGGATTGCTCTAAAATTAGGTGGAGCTTCACCGGTAAGGCAGTTAGTCCTTTGAACAGCTTCGTTAATCGTCTCATGAGTCCTATCAGCCACTAATGAATAGAGCGAGCTCTCACGAGCACTCCCGAGGCATGGCCACGAGAGCACGAGATGAGCGAAAACGAGGGAAGTTTGAATCGGGTCGCAAACCCAAATCTCCCCCGTTTTTTCGCTCCTGTGCTTCCGTTGTGCCGTTTATTCTCCCGCTTTGTTTTACTATGCAAGTCTCGGTGTTACCAATAACTATTTGTCAGCTATGTGATACGCAAACTAATAATGAACCATTATAACTCTCCGGTTTGCTGTCTGCTACGAAATCAACGGGGTTACACCATACTAAACGTAGAGTAGTCTAGACGGAGTCAATTACATGAAATTTTGACCATCGAGATTGGAAAAGTGGTTAGTTACACATGTTCCTAGCTCCATGAGTTAAAAGATACAGATCCTTAGAAATGGTAGGCAGAGTGCAGATGCATTTGCGGCATGGGAAAACACCATCTGACTTATCTAACAAGCTATTAGTTGACAAGGCTTTTACTGATGACAATATTAAACGCCTCACAAACGATATCAACCAAGCTTTTCCACGCCCACAACAAGCCTTTTCGCCCATTCCTGATGACTATCACCTTAGCACATCTGGTTATATGAGGCTCCAACTATTTCACTTGAACAGAGTTTTAAATGGCTTTGCGCAGTTGTCACCTCTTAAAGCAGGGAGCCCAGATGATATCCCAAACTGGGTATTACGTGAGTTTGCTCTTGAACTTGCTCAGCCAGTTTGTCCGGTTTTAAATACATCCTTTATTACTGGCTCTATGCCTGAAACTTGGAAATGCGCTAGCGTCACTCCTCTTGCTAAAATATAAAACATAGAAGATATCGAGAAAGATCTTGAACCTATTTCGCTTACTCCTACTTTATCGAAAATCGCAGAACTCAGTTTGTTGTCCAAGAGCATGTGAAGCCTGCTGTTCTGAAAAGACTACGCCCAGACCAGTTTGGATGTATCCCGGGTTCCTCTACTACGCATGCCGCCTTAATTGGCTTGTTCCATAATTGGACTCGCGCTCTTGATAGAACTGGGAACTGCGTAAGGGCCTTTAGATTATAAGAAGGCGTTCGACTTGATAGATCATAGTCTGTTGACGGCCAAGCTTTTGCAATATGAAATTAATCCTTACATCATAAATTGGATTGCAGCCTTCCTCTCGAAAAGGCAGCAAAGAGTCAAACTAGGGAACTACTGCTTTCCGAATGGCGTTCAGTTCGTGCAGGAGTCCCGCTGGGTGCCAAACTGGGCCCCTGGCTGTTCCTCGTTAAGCTAAACGATCTTAGTGCAGATACTTCGAACGGCCTTTTTAGGTACGTGGACGATACTACAGTCTACGAGATGGTGGAGAAAAAAGGGTCTAGTCATGCATAGTCCATCCTCGATGAGGTATCTACATGGTCTGCTAACAACAAGTTCTAACTTCACCCCAGTAAATGTAATGAGCTTAGGATAACCTTTGCACGCTCTCCGACAAAATATGAACTTGTGGAAATCGCCGGTTGTAAAATTCATACAGTACAAGTAGTTAAGTCATTGGGTGTTTATATTCAAGAGGACCTTAAGTGGAATTCTCATGTGAGAGAAATGACAAAGAAAGCTGCCAAACGCCTGTGATTTCTAGCGCAACTAAAGCGTGCCAAAGTTCCACTTGAAGAACTGTTTCAGTTCTATGTTGCCTGCATTCAATCTGTTTTACCTTATGGCTACCAGGTTTTTCATTTTAGTCTTCCACAATATCTAACCTTAAGTTTAGAACGAATACAGAAACGTGCTCGGTCTTAGGATAATTTTCGGTTGCGAAGTGCATTACTCAGATGCCCTGGCACGTTCAGGCCTCGTTACGTTAGAGCAAAGAAGGACGGAACAATGTAAAAAACTTTTTAACAAAATTGTAGATAACCCCTTGATGTTCTGCACCCTCTTATTCCTTTCAACAAGGGACCAAGTAAAGACCTTAGGAATGCTGGACCATGCCGTGTAAAGCCATGTAAGACCAATAGGTGTCGTGACACAAATGTGCAGTTCTTTTTTAGCAATTCAACTGCACTAATTTCTAAAATTTTATATTTGTAGTCATAGTCGTAGGATTCTTATTGTAGTCATAGTCGTTGGATTCTTATTGTAAGCATGTAAGTCAATTTGTAATTATATTTATAAAATTTCCCTTTCTATACATTGTAAACCTTAGCAATTCAGCCCATGCTGCTATTAAGGTAATAAATAAACCATTCTTCTTCTTCTTCTTCTTCTTCTTCTTCTTCGTCGTCGTCGTCGTCGTCGTCGTCGTCTTCGTCGTCTTCTTCGTCTTCTTCGTCGTCTTCGTCTTCTTCTTCGTCTTCTTCGTCTTCTTCTTCGTCTTCTTCGTCTTCGTCTTCTTCCTCTTCCTCTTCCTCTTCCTCTTCCTCTTCCTCTTCCTCTTCCTCTTCCTCCTGGAGAGTAGGCCTTCAACGATTTCCCCTCCTAATTAACCTTGCCCTGTCCCGCTATCGCCTCCACTCCCCCGCAAGTGGTTAACTCCCACAAGTGACCAAGACAGAATTTCTCCTTACAATATCAAGCAGATAATTGATGAGAATAAAGAAAAATATCAGTCAGGGGAATATAAGGTGATCCAATACCAAATTCTCCACACACATCAAGAATTGTATGCCAGACGTTAAGGAGAATTACAAATGAGATCCTGGGAGTGAAAGTCAAGCAAGGTGACAAACGTTTTAGGACAAGTAGAGAATGAGAGAGTAATACGATGAGGTATGACGGTTTTTAGCCATACAATTCTTTGTGTTGGACTACTAGTGTGGAAACAGGTACTTCGGTCTTTGTTTTCGGGTGTTTCGTTCAGTTTTTCGCATCAGAAGAAAGGGACGGATCGGGCTTTTCCTTTAGAGAGAATCGCAGGCATGCTGTCGACCAATTGCAATTAAGTGTAAGAATAAAAACGGTATTGCAACTTAGTCATTCGCGTTTTCCCGCCGCGCTTCAGGTAGCTTTCTCATTTTTATTTTGAGTTTTACTTGTCTCTTTGTCCTCTTTGAAATATTTTGTTTTGTTTAGCCTTCCACATGTGACCGCTTCAAGCGACAATTATGTCTAAAACTCATTAAACGTGCAAAACCCCTGCTAAAAGCAAATGCAAACTATTTAAAACCACTTGACATTTTGAACTTTCTCTTGAGATAAGCAGACAATTTAAGCTACAAATTCGAAAAAAAAAAAAAAAGAAGATAGTTACTACCACTGAATGTTTCAGAATGCAGAGGTGGAGAAATGTTAGCCGGTACCATCCTTGTTTGATAACCCATGCCCCACTCGGCCCGATCGTTTTTCTTCAGTAGTTTTGTGTCGTATTTACGCCAAAGCACTACTATTTTAAAGCTGTCAAGGAATTAATTATCACCTCAAGCACTGTGATTGTGAACAAAAATAGACAATATGTCAATATCATATTCAGATCAGATTTGACTACCCCAATAAAACCTTTACTTTAAAAAGCGAAATTTTTTTTCCTTATTTCGTGATCTGATATACAGTGAACGACTGTTAAAGTATTTCTTTCATCTAATTTTTCACATATACCTCTAGCTTTCTTTCTATTTTTTTTTTTTTTTTGAGTGGTTCTGGAATCTGAACCATCTAAAAGGTCAAGATTTTTTGTTGTGATAACGATTTCGCGGCGGATTGATTAATTGGCCTTCTTGACCAAAGCGAACTTGCCGACAGAAGGGAAAGCTCTTATCTTCAAGTCATTAGTCTAAGTTGCGTCAGTAGCATAATAAAGTGTTATAAGCATTAAGGGCCTTCTTCCGGAAACCAAAGTTAATCTTATAAGTATAGAGCGGTGGAAAGTCGCTGCCTTGTACCTGAGGGGTAAATGCAACGCCGTGTACTTTCTATCTTAGGTCCAAGAGACTGTTGCTATATCTCGTTAAGTCAAGAGGCCTGCGAAAATTTCCAGAAACATACCGTGTTTGATGTGCGCGACAACACGATTAAACCAGACCAATCTAATTGAAAACAACGATGTAAGAAGGTATCATGGTCGTGTCGATGAGGTATCTCTGACATGCTTCATTATTTGGCACCGTTGAAGTACAAAGCCATTCAACAGCGCCAAGTCTCGCGTGACGTCGCTGAATTGTTTGATCAAGCCTCACGCAACATGGATTTTTCGCTTACTTGCATTAATTAATATTGGTGCAATTCTGTTTCTAATATTTTTCTCGTTAGATTAACTCCTCTTCGTTCTGAATGATTTAAATCTATCTAAATAAAATGCAGTACCCTAGCTCTGTACTCACTGGGTGATTTTTTAACAGGGGAGTGTGAAACATGGCAACCGTACATAAGTAGGGAAAATATTCGATGACACAGGGCTTTGGTAAACAACGTAACGGATTTAGAAATTAAAATAAATTGCATCTACGCGAGCGGGTAATTGATATAAGACATGATTAAAAAAGCGCTCTGTGAAGAATATTCTCTTTATATCACCGAAGATATTTCAAGAACCCAGAGTATTCTTCGTAGAGGACCGAGCATCAAATCTAATGGCACCCAACAATTAATGTCATTTGACTAATGGAGTCAATTAAGGACGGTGAACGACAAAGACTAAGCTAAATTATGAATGTAAAGCAGGTATTAGAGACATCTATCGGTTTTAATGACCAATTGGATTTTGTAGCCTGGGCCATCGATTTTATGACCCACCCGAGTTGCGAAACATTTGGGAGCTACTAACTGCCCTATGAAAGATTGAGCGGTGTTTCTTGTCAAAAAAAAAAAAAAAAATGTTGAAAAACGTGGTGCATGTATGATCCCTACAGCGTGTTACGTGAGATATCTGTGATTTACAGACGTAAATCACACCTGTGTTTGTATTATTCATTACAATTATTGCACAACTATTTTTCAAGCTGATAAGCGAACGATGAATGCACTGCTTTCCTCCTCAAGCTCTAGGGGTGATCCATGTAAAGGGAAAACTTAAGATCATTTCTTAAAAAGGTGATAATAATTTGAACTGTTTGGCTAAAGAAATTTGTGAAAACAACATATGCTTTAAAAATTTTCCAAGGAGTTTACTGACTACCTTAAGTTACGCCGCTGCATAGATAATTCTAAGTGTTTACCTCGTAAATTAACCACCCGAGCTCGATAAGTTGTTTCAATAAGAAAAGCCCTGCCTTTACCTGTAAAAGGCGAGGCTAATAATCGATTCTATTTAAATTTGCTCTCGATGCATGCAGCCGATATATCTAAGCTTGAAATAATTTTATATCGCTATTTTTTTGTTTATTGCCCTGATATTAAGAAAGTTTGTATCCTCCTCTTCTTAGAAGAGACTCTCGAAAAAGAACATTGTAGAGAACCTGCTAAGTGGCAAATTAAATCCCGCGAGAAACAGACAGACAAACGAACAAAACAAACAAAAAGCCGCTTAAGCCTCGGCTTAATAATTACTTTGCAAGAGCTTTTTCAATAAGCGAGAGGATGTCCCCGCAACAAAAGCTAAGGTGTAGTATAATATTGGCGATTTTCAAGTAACAAAATCCAAAGGCGCTGGATGAGAGCCATGCTAGCGTCTTAGCCAATCACATAAGAGCGCTTCCAATTAACTGTCAATCAACTTAAACAACTGGTTGTCAGTTCTGCACTGATAGAGGGATCAACTCCATCGAGTATTTTTCGGATGTATAACAAGGGACCGTGGTCATGGCGAATTGCTGCACTAAAAATGAAAAAACGGAACCTGTGGGTATCAAACTCGAAGGCAATAACATTGAACAAAATATTGAAAGTTGGCTCGACGATCATCCCGAATTCGTTCACTCTTATTTTACGCGTAAAGCAAGCAGGACTCTGATCGATTCTTGGCTTCAGTCACGCTCGCTTCGAACACCTACCCCTAGTGGAACACCGCCTCCGTCAGGATCTTCTACTCCTGTAAGGAAAATCTCTGCTTCGGAATTTGAAGGCCGAGGGATCTTAAAACCCTTAGTGAATGTCGTCGATGGGCAAGCAACATTTTTATCACCGAGCGAGCCATCGAGAGCGCGTTCGCCTCATCGCAATCGCAAGTCGCGCGTCGAACTACTACAACTGGACGAGACAGAGCTCCTAATGGAACTCGTCAAAGATATCGCTAGCGATTTGGATGTAAAATGTCTCTGTCATAAAATCCTACAAAATGTTAGTATTCTTGTCAATGGAGATCGCTGCTCGCTTTTTCTTCTTCAAGGCCCGAAAGATGGGCCTCGCTATCTGGTCTCTAAAGTGTTCGATGTGAATGCGGAGTCAAAACTTGAGGACATGCAAGGATTGGAGGAAATTAGGATTCCCCTCGGCACAGGAATCGTAGGATACACGGCAGATACAGGAGAAGTTGTGAACATTGCCAACGCATATGAGGTGAGTGGTTTTATTTTTTTCGCCATCGTTCAAATTTTTACGCGTGCGATGTGCTTTTCATCTTGAATGCCGGTTGCCTAGTTGTCTTCCTTTAACAAACTTTCCAACCGCGTATCTGGATTTGTAACCTCTAACTTACTTATTTCTCTATTTCTCGTTAGTTTGCGTAGTGAACGTAACTCTTTTTAAGAGGACGGAACATTTTATAGTTCATAAACTAAACTGTTTGGCGCCTGCAGGTTTGTGGCCCGAAATTCCTGCTAATCGATTATGTGCAGTGATAGTTTCGAGAGCTTATACCCCCTTTGGTGAATTTAACACAGTAAACGTTGTATCAAACTTTGTGGATACTCTTAGTGCTCAAGCGAAAAATTCGTTTAATTTCCTAGAGCCGTCATATTCGCGGACGACTCCCTGGAAACGAACCTCGTAGGTACATATGTCGTGAACACTCTGTCAAGTCGAGAACTATTTTTAGTAGTCGTTCGAGCGAACTCGAATGTTTCTGTCTTCAAGTTACTGTAGTTAGGAGATCGCAGTCAAACGCTTAAAATGTCTGCCAGGTTTAGACTTGTTAACTTGGTTTCAGTCATCAATAACAACAAAACTACCGTGACTTTCAGGGGAAATAGAAAGGTGATCGTCAAAACATAGTAGTCATAATTGCTGTCCCTGCTCGCGGACATGTTTACTGCTAGTTTGTTTACATACGGTGCGATTGGCGCTGTGTGTACCATCAGATTTCAACCAAAAGCTTATGCGGTTAGAGCGCTTTCTAAAGAAGTAATAGAGTTATTCGTAATCGCTTTTCGGTTAACTGAGCATCGCTGAATATTCAGGCGTTCGGAAAATGACCATGCTTGCATGCGTAAGACACATTTCTATCGCTTTAAAAATTCAATAAAGTGGATTTTGTATTCTCTCTTTCTTTTGTAACTGTTTATTTTTTGTGTTGGCAAGTGGCAGTCTTTTCAAAAGTTAATTTTGTCGTGTGGCTCTGATCGCAAGCGTTACTGACTTACAGTGAAATAACAAAATGAAGCTATAGTTTGCTTTACGGGTGTCGTCCGCGCTCTTCAGAATTAATTCTTGTTCTGTGTATTCGGTGTCATGTTTTCTTTTTGTTCTTTTTAGTGAAGCGGTGTTAGCCACTCAAACTGAAAGAATAGCTATTTCTTATTTCAGACGACAGTTAGTTTAAAAAGGATGAAACATATTTGAGATTATAAAAACAGAATATTATGTCACGCGAGCCGTCGCGAACTGATTAAATGATTTCTTATAATCCTGTCTTGTAGTAACCTCTTTACATTTTTCGCCCGAATGAGATATTAATTACTTCGTTTAATGTTCCTTGAGCATTCTACACCGATCTCGCTTTTCGTTTACCTAAAAATATTTAACCAAGGCTGAATTCGCATGAAAGCCATTTATTCTGGAGGAAGTAATAGGTGTCTTCATTGTAAAAGGGTCGGTTATCTATTCTACCATTGTATGTACGTAATATTATTTCATAACAAAAGACAGGCAGCAAAAAATAAGAATTTATGTAAACAGCTCTATCTTGTGGTTGAAAGGCTCTCTGCTTAATTAAACTGAAATTTATCACCGACCGGACATAGAGGCGCGATTCTCTTATTCATAAGTTCTTTTGAAAGAAAGCGACGAGCATTTTCCTTTCATCGAGTCGATTTTGATCCACTAAGCTTCTATTCCACTCGACGTAGTGCAGATGTTAAATTTAAATTAGAAGGTAATATCTAAATGAATTGAGAATTTGTCAGTATGCACAAGTTTTCATTTACATTCAAAGATTTATTCCCAAGTTGAATGGTTTAGGTAAACAAAAAAATGCTTCAGGGCTTTTTTCAGTACAGCTAAAGCGACCAGACTGCTATCCAAATCTCTTTCTTATACAGATTGCAATACTCTCCTGAAAATTATAGCCTTGCATCAGATATGTACGACACTTTATAGCCTTGTCATCTTTGCTTTATTGACAGGTCAGATGTATCAATGTTATTAGAAATTATATTCAGGAGCATTATTTATCTTCCTTTTCACTTTGAAAAGGCAAAAACACCCATGGGATTAATGATATTCAAATTCTGTTTTCCCACTAAGGGCTCTGCTAATGGGCCATGTACCAGCTGGTTTTTAGAGGGTGCTTCTAGATTTTTATCGTACGTGAGTCCTTTGGACTATGTCTGACTTTTGACAGAATGGTCATAGTTATGTCTAGAATTATAGTAAAATGGAGGTTGTTTGTTTTGCCTTGTTACCTTGGCTTGGAGGAGAACTAGTTTACATGGTGTGAAGTGGTTGTGGGAAAGGCTACTTCCTTTGGCTGAGATGTTAATCCATGTAAAGCTATTTTTGACATTTCTGTCAGGTTTTAAAATTAATTATCAGGAGGCATATTGTACACTTGGATAAGATAGCTGCGATACTTTTTTCTGACTTTCTTTGAGCCTTAGAATATAATATGACAAACTTATCCCACTTTATAAATGGGTGGAATAATGCAACACTGTGTGCACTCTCGTAATTTCAGGAAGACCCAGATTCAAATCTCAGACCAAGTGTTGTTTGTGATTTTTGTTGCTTTTTGTCCTTCCTGCAAGAATTTTTCTTCAAGTTTCATAGTTTTCCTTCCTACACCATTCAGTCATAAACTCAAGAGCCATGCTGTTTTTATAAGAGAACTTAAATTTAGTTATTCTCTGATTTACTTTGTACAGAAATGTACTAACTACTATTCCATTGTGTAGGAGTGTAATGCCTGGATGTTATCAGAGCATAGATCTTCTTTATCAGTGACTTACCTACCCTTTTATTTCCCATGTCATTATGATCAGTTAGTTTGTGTGTTTTTATGATCTTCAGCAGCCTATATATTCTCTGATACTATGTAAGTGAATTACACAACCTGCATGCACATGAACCATCCTATGTTTTTCCACACCTTAATCTTTCATTGTTAATATTTCCATTCCGTAGGGTTGTGAAAATAAGCCGGCAGCTGGCACAATTTGGCACAATTTTCACCGTCTACTCTGAAAAACATGCTAACGATTTGGAATGCTTGTGGTTAAATTTTCAACATTGAAGCATGAGGTTGTGTTGCCTACTTTGTTTCGCAAACCAGTTACTCAAAATCTTTTTGATAATCCTGATTCAGTGCAAATCTTTTGCAAATCTTGTAGCTTTTGATGTATTTCTTTGAATTTTTTTTTTTTTGGCTACAAGAATTGTGGAGTCTTTGGAAGGGTTGTATTTTTTTTTAATTCTATGATGTGATTAACCATTACAACAAATTTTGAATTTTTTTTTTCTGAGACTAATTTCAAAATAATGCAAGAAGAATATCACAATATATAAGCTGGGCCCATTTAGAGCTTTAAATTATAGGAATTTTGTTTTCAATTTTTTGTTTTTGTGTTTCAAATTCAATTTCTCATAATGTAAAGCTCCTTCATAGATACTGAATGGATGTAATTTTCAAATATGCTGATGGCTAGACTAAGTGGCTTTTAAATGATGATCTATTCACTAGTAGAGACTCTGAGTTTTGGGATCTGCGTAGAACTGCATTTTGCCTTTGGGGCAATGGTTAATTTTTGTTCTGTATGGATGATTGATATCTTAAACTGAGGTTATGTCCACAGGGGTGGAATTTCGTCAGTTAATTCATTACATTTTACCTTGGTTAAAAGTTGATTTTTGTTTTGTGTGAACAATTGATATATTAAACTCAGGCTGTGTCCATAGAGGTGGAGTTTTATCAGTTTATTGCTTAAGGTTTACCTTTGCTAGACAGTATATCTTCTGTGGTCTTTCCTTACATTTAGGTAGCACGGAAAGCCGTAAAACTCTTAAACAAAAGCTTATCTTTCAAACTGGCAGTCTAAATCCCACTGGGATCAACAATTGCTTTTCATTCCACTAATTTATTCATGTTTTTCTCGTTGCCATGTTCCCACCAATAACTTAGCTCCATTTTCTGCCTTTAAAAGCACACACAAACCACAATTCCTCTATTCACTCCGACGAAGGGCTAACGCTTGAAACATCAGCTTTTATAATCATTACGGTGGCCAATTTACCATTTCAACTTTGTTGATATATCCAAAGTATATCTTTTAATCACAAAAAGTCTGTTATTGTGGCCCTGTGTTTTAACTATTGGCTTCAGCTTTTGGTGCATGGTTTGTGTACCCTTACTGTTAAATTTATTGATACCAACAGTATTCCCCTTTTCATGCAGTAACCTTTACAATTTACCCCCTGTAGTACTATGCGTACCTCTTATTACTTGTTACTGTGTTTATGTGAAACGGCAATAGTCAGCTTGCCCTTTCAGGTTTCACGTAAATATCATGAACCTTCCTGCTTTAGCTTCTACTTGAGCTCACATCATGTTGCATTTGAAGGCAGCCCTGCATGACTTACAAGGAATAGTGTTGGTGCCCTTGTCTGGCAATTGACTTCTACTTTGAGGGAGAAAAAGTGCGGAAAATCTATGTACATGGCAAACGCAAAACTGTTTACTTTCACATAGAAATGGCAAGGGGGCACCAACAAACATGAAAGAAAGAGCTGGCAGGAAAAGCATGGTCACATGTTCACTCTTGCCACTCACATTTTTGCACCTCTCCACACTGACTGAAATCACTTGGAATTCTTGAAAAGTAAACAGGTTCAAGGATTGCACTGCAGATTTAGAAATTATTTTACTTGTTGTACTTAAATAATGGAGAACACTGTTCTTGTCTGTGTTCCCAGTAGGGAACTTTTTCACTATGTCACTTTGATTTTACCCTTAATGACTCAAACTCAGGAAAAATGTCATTTATCAAAGGTAAATAAATGTTAACTTAGGGAGCATCTCTGAGTTTGGACTTCAGTCAGTGTATTGTTGCTATTTTTAAACCCAGCTGAACCATATTTTCTAGTATCAAATATTGTCTTGGTAACAGAATTCTTCATAACTTTCATGTATAATGAAAAATATACACATTTGTGCATACATGTAAATCATTTTTAAGGTATTTAAAGGCACTTTCTGTTTTGGATGGCTTATTCTACCTGGGAATGTAATGGTTGAGTTACTCTATCCCCATAAAGCTCACATCTATGATTTTTCGGGGACTGTGAGGAAAATTTTACCCTCTGATCCATGATATTAGGGTTTTCATTGACAAATGTGGTGCGTAGCAGTAATAAAGAGAAAAGTAACGAGAAAATATCTTCCATGTTTGAATAAAGATAGTTTAATGTGGCTATTAAAAATTTTGCCAGAGAATTCTGCAGGGCAGCTTGTCAATGAGAATTCTTCACTCTCTACTCATAAACACCTGGAGCTTCTTTATGGTCCAGCTGCTTAATAACTTCACTCCCCAGATCTTATTTGTAATTCCCCTTACGTTCTGCCATACAATTCTTATGATGTTGGTTAAGAGGATTTGGTAGTGGATCAACTTATAATCCCCTAGTTGATATTTTTCTCTCTTCTCATCACTTGTCAGCTTGATATTGTGTTAATCATGTAAGGAGAAATTCTGTCTTGGTCACTCATGGGAGTTAAACAGTTAATAATTTCACATTCTAGCAAACAGACGTTAATAGTGGTGTGGTCAGTAATTATTCTGGGACAGTCTGTTTCCACATAACATGCAATTCTTGAAACATTTTTAATTAGCTTCTTTGAATTTGCTATAGGCAAAAAAATGCTTCACAGTTTCACAGGATTAAAACTATGAACAGAAACTGCTCATGGTAGACAGTAACTGTAATTTTGCAATGATGTTATTACAAGGGTATGTATTCAAGCTGAAGGCAGGCTGTGTTTTCAATTTTGGTGTAATTTGCACTGGATGCTTAATTACAGCCGTTAATTTTAATTTCTGTTGTTAAAACCAGCAGATGGGATGCATTATGTGGTCTTGGGCTGGTTATCAATTTATTTCTTTGTGTGTGTGTGTGTGTGTGTGTGTGTGTGTGTGTGTTGCACAAAAAGCAACTATTAAAAATACATCTACATACTGTATTGTGCCAAAATAGCCAAAGGAGTGAAAAAAAAAATATCATTTCTGTTTTTATTTTGGATATGGGGGAAATGACAAAACCTGAAAGAATGCAAAGAAAACATTTTGGCTCTTCTGTATATCCAAACTTTTCTCTAGTCCAAGGAGAAAGGAAGCTGGGGAATCTATTTGGCCAGAAATTGTTTACTATTATACTCCACAGAAAGAAGAATAGGAAAGGGAAATCTAAGGCCTGGCACTTTTCCATGAATTTCAAGCTGAGCGAAATAAATACTGTAACAGCTGGACAACAGTCAGTTTGCATTCAAAACTCTTCAAGGCTTTCTATGGGGATTTCTTTGAATATGCTTCACTTGAAGAGAAATTTTGTGCCAAAAATAATCTTTGATTGACAGGGCAGTCACTAAGTTTTAAGGTAGCAACTTAACGGCCATTGGTGACAACATGCAATCAACATCATCACCTGTGACAACGAGTGCGCTGAGCCATAACTGGTGTTCTGGGTTACAGCCAAAGTTATGTCTATGTCTACCTCACTAATGAACTTATTCTTCTCTTCATTTAATTTAATTTTTTTTTTTTTTTTTGCATTTTAAAAGAATAAGTTTTTGCTTCTCTTTCATTCTTTTACATGGCTTGGTGCAAAAAAAGAGTGCTAGATATATAGTTGCTTTGATGTGTTAAAGCATGCAGTCACTTAATTTGATTAAGAAAGAGGGAAAGAGAGAATCATAGATGAAATGATAAAATAGTTAAATAAATATAATTAGAAGAGTGTCCATTATTGTCAGTGTCTAGCCAGTGATCCCTTAACTGTGTTGCAAACCAAGACACACTTGCAGCATAAACTTGTTTTCTGTGTGTTGTGTACATATCTAATGAATGAAATGGTGGGTTTGCAAATGTGGGCTTTTAATTAAATCCCTGACTCAGACACATTTGGTAATGAAAATTCACATTTACCTGGCAAGATAATTAGGAAGAAATGTGCATGGATCTGAAGAAATACCTGTGGATTAAACCCTTTCCCAGTCAATCAAAATGCAGTACCGTAGTTTGTATCCCAGTCACCTCCATTCAAAGAGATAAACATAGGTTCCAATTAAAAATATTTCCCTGCAACTTTTGAATCTTTTATCTGCAAACCTTGTAAAGGGGACACATACCTTTTCTAGTTTGGAGGGTGTCCCTCCAATAGAGGTTCCACTGTGATTCTTGTTACAAGGGAGTTTTTATTGATTTAGTGTTATTTTCTCAACAGGATTCAAGATTTAACCAGGAAATTGACAAAAAAACTGGTTACCACACAAGAAGTATTCTTTGTATGCCAATCAGAGATCACTACCATGGAGAGGTATGTCATGGCAGAGGAAGACTGAACCCTATTGGGAGATTGAAAGGAGGATTTCCTCAATTTTGAGTTCAATCCAATGCCTGTAGGATCATGGTGTCCTTTTCAAATTAATTTAAGAAGCAGTGCCCCTTTAAATCAAGGGATGATGCTCTGGTGAGTGCGACTGCTTCCCACCACCTGTGCTATGGTTTCGGGTTTCCAACCATCATATGTGGATTACATTTGGTGTTGGTTCCTTGTCCTTGCAGTGAAGATGCTTCATTCAATTCTGAAGTTTTCCCTCTTATGCACAAACCAATGGTCAATATTTTTATTATGCATAGAAATGGTGGAGGAGAAAAGCCACCTTTGCTAATTGCTACTGCTAAATTTGCTTTTGGCAATGTATTCTATAGCTGTTTGCCCTTTACTTTCTTTACCCTCATAGATTATTGGTGTTGCTCAAGTTATAAATAAAAGAGGATTCTTAGATCACACTTTCACCAGGGAAGATGAAAAGGTAAAAAGATGATTTTACCTACTCTTTTTGGGTGAAGTCTGGAAGAGGTTAAATTTATAACTTTACTTCCGCCCGATGAGGACCATTTGATTAGTATTGGTTACTTAGCATGTCTTGTTAAATGCTAGCCCTAAGGAAAAAGAAAAAGAAAGATGATGAATTTTGGGCTTGGCTGTTTAACAAAAAAGATTGATATTCTATTCAGTTTACATGGGTTTACAGTTAAAATTCAGCCACTCTGTAAATTACCCATCAGCTCTTGTACGGCATACATCATTGGAAATTATATAGAAAGATATTTTTCATCTAGTCATGAGTATGAGACAAAGAAAAAATTCTGAGCGCAGATAAGTTTCGTGTAGATAGGTTTACATCAAGTATAGGAGAATAATTGAAAAGAGCGCATGGTCGACTAGTGTGTTAACTTCATTCATGCAAACCTCAAGGAGAGTAACCCTCCAATTTATGAATTAGGAGGACACGACACTCAGACCTTCGGATTCAGCGCTCCGATGCTCTACCACTGAGCCACACAGACTCTAGGGTGAACAAGGCCCATTATGAAGTTCATATTTGACATGTGTCGTGCATACTGCCAGGTCTGAAGGTCTAAGGTTCAATTCCTCATGGGGACTCAGAATTTTATTTTTGTCCCATGCTTATGACCGGACTAAAAAACATCTTTCTATATTTCTTTACCAAGCTCAAGACTTACCATCTTTCTATATTTCTTTACCGAGCTCAAGACTTACCATCTTTCTATATTTCTTTACCGAGCTCAAGACTTACCATCTTTCTATATTTCTTTACCAAGCTCAAGACTTACCATCTTTCTATATTTCTTTACCGAGCTCAAGACTTACCATCTTTCTATATTTCTTTACCGAGCTCAAGACTTACCATCTTTCTATATTTCTTTACCGAGCTCAAGACTATATTTCTTTACCGAGCTCAAGACTTACCATCTTTCTATATTTCTTTACCAAGCTCAAGACTTACCATCTTTCTATATTTCTTTACCAAGCCAAGACTTACCATCTTTCTACATTTCTTTACTGAGCTCAAGACTTACCATCTTTCTATATTTCTTTACCGAGCTCAAGACTATATTTCTTTACCGAGCTCAAGACTTACCATCTTTCTATATTTCTTTACCGAGCTCAAGACTTACCATCTTTCTATATTTCTTTACCGAGCTCAAGACTTACCATCTTTTTTATTCTTTACTATTATTATTTACCTGTGGAGAGATTGACATGATTTTCCTGAATTGAAATAATGTCCTCATGAATAATTTTATTTTAATTTATTATTTATTTCTAGATAGTTACAGACCTCTTTGTTTTGCAGATATTTAGCAAATACTTGGTCTTCTGTGGAATTGGAATTACAAATGCAGAACTCTATGAGAGAGCACAACTTGAAATTAGAAGAAACCAGGTAGATTATGATATATAAATATATAAATTCTAAGATACTTATGCAAAAATACCAATTGAATACTATACTATTAAGAAAGACATTAAAATAAAAATATACCGATACCATTCTATTCAAAATATTCCTTGTCTCTACCAGCTGCAGAGAAAACAGTCAGATCCACATTTGTTGCTAATTAAGTTCGAGAGATGTATTTGTCTTACTAATTTCTTAATTAACCCTCAAAGCCCAGATATCAACATGTATATTCTCATAACTGTTCTCCTTATGTTTCTTAATTATTTTGCTGATTAAGAGAATTTGCTCAAACATCAGGACATTTCGTCTTTGGTGATCATTTCATTTCTTCTCATGATATGTACATTTGATCAGGCAGTGATATTGTTTGGAGTGTCCATACTGTTCTGTATAAATTTCCTAGGGCTTAGATAAGGAGAGTTTAGCTACAGATCAAGAGCTTTTCAAGTTACAGATCACTTCAATCTTTAATTCTCATGAGCCTAATATTTGATTCAGCAGTGATACCTCAGTGAGAAATTATATGCTAGTTACCCAGAGGGGTATAATGGTTAACTCCCAGAAGTGATGAACATGTAACTTCTCCCTATAATATCCATACATTATTACACGACTTGGGCAGTCAGAGGGCCAATAACTAAAATCAACCAATCAAAATGCTCTATTGCCGGTCCAATATTCTCAAGCTTGCTCGGGACTGTACTGGAAGAATATCGGCCCTCAGTCTTTTTTGTACAGACCGAGCGCAGCAAGGTCCATACTGTCAAGACTTCGGGCCAATATTCTCCCAGTACGGCCCTCGCGCTTGGTTAATAAGATATATTTATCCAGCAGAGAGGTAATGAGAATACTCCAAGTTGTCAGGTATAAGCTGTTATCTTGATCTAACACCAAATTCTTGTAACTAACTTACAAGGAAATATGTAGCAGCTAGATGGGAGAATTTAACAATCAGCTCCAGTGAATGAAAGGGTTAAGGCAAGACAACAAGTGGAATTACTACATGGCTACCCATCTTGCATAACTTATTAGAAATAGTAAAATTTGTTTTAATTTTTTTGCTCTTCACCTCCAGGTTTTACTGGATTTAGCTAGAACAATTTTTGAAGAACAGAGCACACTTCACAACATTGTACAGAAAATTATGATGATCACACAGACTTTACTTCAATGTGAAAGATGTTCAGTTCTCTTGGTGGATCCTACATCAAAGGTATGAGTTGAACTTGTTCATTTGAGACACTAAATATACCGGCAATTATAATTTTAATTCTGTGTCCCGAAGCAAAAAAGTTATTTAATACATTTACTGCAAGTAAATCTTGCTTGGTGATTAGTAAAGTGCCTTGTTAGTAAGTTAAATATATTTTGTGGTGTACTGGCAGTGGTTTCATTAATGTTTTAAGCAGTAGGGCAACTGGTTTTCACAGGTGGGCAAAACTTTTGAAACTGAACTTCTTTATAAGAAAAACTTTTCTCCAGATGGTCAAACCACATTGGTAAAACCGTCCTCACGACCGGTCAATTTGCTTGGTGCCCGGCCCTCAATGAAACCCCTGACTGGCTTTTATTTGATAAAGATTTATAACATAAAGGCAAAGTTACAAAATGCTGATTTTGGTAGTAATGCCATGGGTTAAGTTACTGTCAGTATTGCTATAAAAACAGTTTTAAAAAAATTCAATGTGGCATGTTTTTTTTCTATTTTTCATGGAAGACACTATTTTCTCAAGCTTTTGATTTGGAAGCCAGAGACTACTTAAATGAAGATGATCAGACTGTGGTGAAACACAGATCATGGTAAATACAGCTTTCATAGAATTATTAATTATTAGAATTATTAATTAATCAATAGTTATTAATTATTGTTTCATTGAATCTGGGGTGTTTCATGTGCCAAGTCTGCATACATCAATTTTTTTTTTTAGTTTTAGGAACAGCAAACTCAATCTGCTGTAAATATTTCCAGACTGTTTGCTTCCAGACACAAGCTCCAAGTGATGAACCTCGAACAGTGAAATGAATTATTTACTAAGAAATGAAATGTTTGTTGTCGACAACTTGTTACGTAAAAAGTGAGATTAATGAATGATAAAATTATGTCTTTGATATCTACTTTGAGATTTGATTACGTATGAATTTATTGACTTTTCATTTGGAACTTCAAAAGCACTTGGACAGTATGAAGCCATTATTTAAATGTGGCTCCACCCTTTAGCTCCCCAGATCTCTTATTAACTACTCTGCACCTTCAGGGGTGTCTCGCGTGCAAGCGATGTAGCGCGTCCGGTTTAAACTGTAGATATCTAAACCCCTATATCAAATTAAAGCTTATAGGACTGGCTATCAGACTATACCGAAAATTTTGAAAAAAGATGAATTGTCGAATTTTTCACGACTTCTAAATGCGAGCGCCCCAATCACCTTTTGAACGTTGCTTGTCAAAGTGAATTTTGTTTTTCGCTTATTTAATGTGTTCCTCCGTTTCTGGGGCCAAAGCGCTAAAAAAATGTGTCTGCAATTTGTCATATTTAATTTCAGTGAAAAGTTACAGAACATTTTTGAAATAGGTTTAAAAAAATGTGGAGTGATCGTACAAAAATCGCTCTTGAAAATAAGAGTATTTAGAAATAAAAAATTCGGAGACATGTTTTTGTTGTTTATATGTAAAACTAGCTACTATCAAAATTTGAGAGCAATCGAACAAATTCCCTTTGACTTTTAGCTCTTAAAAGGTGATTCAGGCGCTCACATATAGAAGTCGTGAAAAATTCGACAATTAATTTTTTTTCAAAATTTTTGGTATAGTCTGATAGCCAGTCCAATAAGCTTTAATTTGATATAGGGGTTTAGATATCTACAGTTTAAACTGGATGCGCTACATCGCTTGCATGAGAGACACCTCTGAAGGTGCAAGGTAACCTTAAATAATTCTCTAAAAAAAGAGAATATGTTTAAACACAGCATCAGGTAACTTAAAGAATCACTGTTACATGCTTTGTAGAGTAAAAGTCAAAGGTGGGTGAATTATAAGGGTTAAAGGTTCTCCACACATGTTTCACCCAACAATCACTTACCGAGCTGTTTATGACACGTACTTAGTTAAAGCCTTCATGTTAAAAACTTTGGAGTCTACATTCAAGTGAATAAAACTTCCAACTTGGTCAGTTCTGAAAGTAAAAGTTCCCTAATCACTCTGATTGCTTCCTGGTTAGTAAGTCATTTAACTATTCCTAGGTCATAGAACTGTCTGTTATACAATTCTTATGATGTCAGCTCAGAGAATTTTATATTGGATGAACTAGTAATCTTCTAATTGACATTTTCTTCTTTATTCTCAGAACTTGTCTTCTTGATTTTGTATTGATTTTGTAAGGAGAAATTCTTTCTTGGTCACTCATGGGAGTTAAAAGGGTTAAGGACAGCAGGGCTCAACAATCTAGTTCTTTGAATCATAGTTGCTTTTTTGTTCATCCTTTCAGTAGCAAAACCGAAGTCCGATTTCCTATCAATATAGGAATTACAGGTCATGTTGCAACTACTGGCGAGGTATGAGATTTCTTTTATTTGGGTGACTTTGATTTGAGCAAATGCACTGTAAATTAAAGTTATTATAATCTGTGATTTTTCCATTATTTTTTTCAGACGTTGAATATTCCTAATGCATATCAAGATGAGAGATTTGATCCAGCTGTATGTATTCAATATTATTTTTTCAATTACAGCTCTTGTTTACCGTACATGCGGTATTCAGTCTATTACCTCTTTAACTCCCAAGATCTGATTGTTAATTCTCCCCTCTAGCTGCTATACATTTCTGTGTAAAGTAGTTATGAGAATTGGTACTAGATCAGGATAATGATTTCTACCTGATAAGTTTGAGTACTCTCATTACCTGTTTGCTGGATAATGTGTGGAAATTATAGGGGGAAGTTTCATGCCAATCACTTGTAGGAGTTAAGCGGGCTTTACTCTACTGCACAGCCCACATATAAATCCTTTTTGTTCTGTTACACAGGTTGACCAAGCTTCAGGATTTGTAACCCAAACAATTCTATGTATGCCCATCAAGAACAGCAGCGAAGAAATTATTGGTAAGTGAGTAAATTAATGTGCATCCAATTATTTTGTATCCCATGGATACAAAATAATTGGATACCACCTCTTGAGGCCTGTGAAATGGTCCGCAACATGATTATCAGCAGCTTGAAATGACTTTTTGTATTGATCTGTCTCTAATCTTATGGTCTGCTTTTGATTTAAACACATTGAAAGATGTAAATCCCAAACTGATGAACCTAGCATCACTCATTGATTTAACAATTTTACAGTAATTGTTCCTTGCATTTAATATGAAGATCCTAGCTAACTGATTGGTCTATTATGGTCTGGTCATCAATATTCTTTCCATCTGGTTGGTTCTGTGGTATTTGGCTAACAAAGGAGGGTTTTTATAAGCCAGGCCCACTCTTTTGTTCTTTGCTAATAACTGTTGAATGGTAATTCTCTCTAGAATATATTTCTTTATAAATGTTCATTTTCCTCTTCTTTTTCAGGTGTTGTTCAACTCTTGAACAAACTTGATGGCACAGCTTTCAACAAAAATGATGAAAATCTCTTTGAGGTACTGTACATCTTCTGACGATGTGTGTATCCATTCATAGCAAATATGATTTGAAACTTGTGTTGATGAGCAGGTGAATTAATTGATCTACACCTGTTGCTGCTGGCTTTATGGCTTAGTTTGTTGCGACGCTCATCTAGTATCTGGAATGCAAAGGTTTGAACTCTCTCGAAGCCAGAATTTCTTCAGGCTTTTCTTGATTCAATTCTCTCTTTTACAGTCTATCTGTGAGGATCAGTTTGTTTTTTTTTTTTTACCTCCCTATACAGGGATGCAAAATTGCCAGAGCTCTATCGATACCCACCTCTACTTATAAATGCCAAAATATTCCCTTCTTTCTTACAACGGCATTTTGTTATTCTCTATTGGTTTTATAGGCTTTTGCAATATTTTGTGGCATGGCAATCCAGAATACTGTTATGTATGAGAATGTCAACAAGGCTATGGCAAAACAGAAAGTTGCACTGGAGGTAAGAATTGTGTTTTAACAAGCAAATGGATTTCTGTAGCAGCTGGGTGGCAGGTACATCTATCTACTAGCAGCCACTTTACTCTAAACATACATGAAATTCACTTCAAATTTGTTCCAATCAAATTAACCTCTATGATCATCAAAGCACCATAAATTGGTAATCAAATACCTTATAATACAGGATGCTGCTGCTGCAAGATTCTAGAACTTCAAAATTTCCCACGAAAGCTTGGACATTCCTGGCAGCAAAAGGCTTACCAGGACCTCACAACTACCAACTACCTGCTATTTTAAGCTGTCCATTTGTACCACATCTTATTCCTTAGACTCGTAGGAGTGACTAACATCTAATTTCTCCTTAAAATACCACCCCTGAATCGCACAATTAGGTACCATAAATAAAGGAAATGATCACCCATTAAATATGCTCTTGGTTGTTGAACTAATTCTCCTTATCTGCACCTAAGGAAATGTATAGAGAACAGTATGGAGAATATACTGAAACCACTGCAAGTGCAAAGGATGTCTTAAATATTTTAATTGTAGCCTGCTCTAGACGCAAAACAGTGATTAAAATAAGTGCCCTCTTCTTGTCTTGCTCTATGATTTGGGGTTAAGTCACTAATTTCTGTTGTTATGTTGTGTCCAAGGTTCTTTCTTACCATGCTGCTGCCCCTTTGGAGGAAGCTAACAAACTAAAGGTATATAACATTATTTTACATCTTATTAATGATCTAGGTTCCACAGAAAAGCCAGAGAGTCCAGGAATTTTTCAATACCACTTTCTAAGCGTGGAAAGGCCAGACCTCCCTGGCAATTCATCAGACCTCATTTAAATTCCTGGGTGTAGAGAGGCAGTGCAAGAGTGAAATATTTTTTCCAGGAACACAACACAATGACCAGAGCCAGGTTGTCAAAAGTTGGTTTAAGATAACCCTTGGAGAGAGTGAAATCTGATTTCAGATCTGAAAGCTTTTAAAGAAAATTGCAATTTGATGATTGGATGCTCTGTAAAGAGGAGAGAAAATAATCCCAAAAAGGCTTTTGATCATAGGAATAATTAAAAGAAACCTGAATTAACATTTAATTTCAGGTTAGTGCTAATTGGCCTCCAAACGTCTGGGCCTAGGCACTAATCATTTGGTCACAAAATGAACTTTCTGGCTTGTAAGCTTAAAAAGGGTAAGGTAAAGTCTGTTTACGAGCCTAGTGGCCCTTTAGGCCGGTGCTTAACTCCGGTTTCTGTAGCATGAAGTGACTAGGGGTATTTCTACTCCCCCCTGGATGGGATGCCAGTCCATCGCAGGGTTACCCCCAGCATTAAATTGCCGGTACCCATTTATACACCTGGGTGAAGAGAGGCACTGTGAGAGTGAAGTGTCTTACCTAAGAACACAACACAATGTCCCGGCCGGGGCTCGAACCCGGACCACTCAATCCGGAGTCGAGTGCACCAACCATGAGGCCTCCACGCTTGTAAGCTTATTGTTCCTTTTTACCATTTTATTACACGACTCGGGCAGTCAGAGGGCCAATAACTAAAATCAACCAATCAAAATGCTACATTGCCGGTAAATATTCTCTCAGTATTGGACCGGGCACTGTCCCGAATGGTCCGGAATGATACCGCACTTGTGTCCCTTTGAACTTCAGTCCTATAATAAATTTCTTATTAACCAAGCTTGCTCGGGACCGTACCGGAAGAATATTGGCCCTCAGTCTTTTTTGTACGGACCGAGCGCAGCAAGGTCCGTACTGTCAAGACCTCAGACCAATATTCTCCCAGTACGGCCCTCGCGCTTGGTTAATAAGATATATTTATTCTTATTCTCTGCAGTCTGTTCCTATACCATCAATCAAAACCCTTAAACTGTTGGAGTTTACTTTTGATGACGAGTTGGTCAGTGATCAAGATACCCTTTTGGGTACACTTGCAATGGTGATGGACTTGAAGTTACACGAGCATTTCAATGTGGAGTACCAGGTAGAGCAGTGTACTGCACTTTCTTTTTTATATGCTTTTAATTAATTAAGCTTACAAATTATTTTGTTTAATTAGCAGGGGCATAGCGTCTATAGATGCACATATGCCTGTGTGTGCAGCTGAAATCTGGAAAAAAAAATTTTTTATTCCCTTATAGCATATGTCACAGTTACCATGAAATAAGACCAATTTTTAAATTTTGAATTATACTGGCACCTTTTTTAACCCTGTTTTTTGGTATAGGTTACTGAAAACTCATGAGATGGGTAAAATAAGCAACTAATTACTGCATTTTCATCACATTTATTTATAAAAAAGTTCTGCAGAAATATTTGGAAATGGCATTTCCAAGACCCTAAATTTCAAAATTTTCTGGGGGAGCATGCTCCCAGACCTCCCTGGTTTGGGGTGCGTTTGGCACTCCCAATTTCTGTACTGTGTATACACCTTCAAAATCTCACGCTATGCCCCTGATTAGCTCAATATATACTGTGCGATTTTATTTTTTTACAGAGTAATGGGAGTGTCTAATGTAATTTAGTCAAAGTTTGACCCCTCTGAATAACCAACGTCTAATTTCTCACAATATTGCCAGTAGATCACACATGAGAATGAGGAAATGATCACCAACTTAAGGCTCTCTTGATATTTTAAACAAATTCTCCTTTTCAGCACCTCAGGAAATGTATAGAGAACAGTATGGAGAATAAACATACTGATGTGAGGGTGGTAAAGAGTAAAATTATTGTTTCTGTACTTCACTCTTTGATTGGCATACAAAAGTTGCGCTACCCCTTCAACCAATGACACAAAAAATTAAACCACTGGCCACTTGGCCAGTTGCATATTCCCACTTTGCAGGAGGCATTTTGTGTGTTCACTTTGACTTCTCCTTGGTTCCTTGTGATGTGTGTACCTGTGTTTTTTGGTTGGCTATTAACCCTACACGCACCCAAACATAAATATTGATTTCATATTCCCCACACCGGGTTCTCTTTACATATCTTATGTTACCGACAGGGAGAATTAGTTTGAATTGGTTGAATTTGAATTTGTTCCGAGCTTCTTAAATTGGTGATAATTTCCTTTATTCTCGTGACCTTTGTATATGATTCCAGGATGATGCTGAAAAGGGAAAACTAGAAGTCACTCTTAGATGTTAAAGGATTACGATGACTATGATTGTCAAAATAAAACCCTCATTTGAAATAAGCTACTTTTAATTATTAGTAATCTACCATTAATTTTTTTCATCAGGTTCTCTGTCGCTGGATCCTAACAGTGAAGAAAAACTATCGGCCTGTGATGTACCACAACTGGAGGCATGCATTCAATGTAGCTCAGACAATGTTCACCATTCTTAAGGTAATTATCAGTTGTTTTTTTTTTTCTTTTTTCTTTTTTCTGGCAACCATTTTATGATTTTATATCAAGTAATGGTAACTTTACAAAAGAAATAAGTTCAGGGCTGTTGGCTGATAATTAATCCACAAAGGGCTGTATTCCTTAATGGAATGTTACTCTAAATGAATCATGGTAGACAAAAGGGGCAGCCTATAAAACATCTTAAGGTTAATGGATGAGCTGTAAGGCTTCTTGACACCTACTGTACTTCCTACAAGAAGCCCTTCCACCTTGCCCACCCCCTCCCCGTTCCTGCTCTGTAGTAAGGCATCAACAGTCCTCTATCCTCTCCAGTTGGCCATTGCCCTTTCCCCTTCTTTAATAAACCCACCTGTTTTCCATTGCCTTTCTCTTTTAAGCCCTTTTCCCCCACCTGCTCCAGTGATCTCCTCTCCGTGCTCTCTGATAAGCAATCATCCCTATATCCTCTCCATTTGGCCATTGCCCTTTCCCCTTCTTTAATAAACCCACCTGTTTTCCATTGCCTTTCTCTTTTAAGCCCTTTTCCCCCACCTGCTCCAGTGATCTCCTCTCCGTGCTCTCTGATAAGCAATCATCCCTATATCCTCTCCATTTGGCCATTGCCCTTTCCCCTTCTTTAATAAACCCACCTCCTCTCCACTCCCCTTCTAATAAGCCCTTTTCTATACCTCTCCTTAATAAGCCCTCACCTCAGCTCAAAATTTATCAACATTTTAAAGTTTGTGTTAATTACCTTTTTAAACGTAATGGGTTGGTTACCAAAAGGAGGTCTAACATGAGCCACAGTTTATGACAATCAATGGACTTCTAAAGTTTCTTATAGATGGGGTTTTTGAATTAATTAGATATGTCTTTTAGTGCTTAATAGAAGCCCTTTTGGCAGTTTTACAAGAATTTATGTTTAGGTGACATTTTCTGTTAGTTAAGAATTTTTAGAATGATGTTTGGATGAACAACTCTCTCAAACAGCCCAATATGTTTTCGTTAAAGGAAATGCTCAGTATATATGGTAGAAGTGTCTTTTTTTCCCTACGATATGATGTTTTGGATTATAGGTTGATGAATTTGGGAAGTTATTTACACCAGAAGAGAAATTTGCTCTACTGGTTGCTTGTCTGTCACATGATCTTGATCACAGGGGAACCAACAATTCATTTCAAATAAAGTAAGCGGACAAAACATTCATTTTGAGTGTTAAGTTTTTATTACTTAAACCTTTACACCACAACATGAGTATGGATGTTCTCTTCACCATTCTTTAAATATTTCTCGTGTTACTCACAGGGAGAATTTTTTTTTTCTTATTTACAGTTAAGGGTGTCTTAAGTTGGAGACCATTTCCTTTGTTCTTGTGAGCTTTATGTTTGATTCAGGAATGTCACTGCTTGGGGAAACTAGATGCTCAAGGCTGTGCTCTAAGAAAAATTGAAAGGAACCCAGTGCTCTGAAACTATGAAATCCAGGGTGCCCAGCATATGCTTTCTATTAAAAGACTAAGATTCCCGAGTTGCTCAAGAGTAAAAGTAAGGTGCCAAGGGCCACTGGGCACTGCTAGACCACAGCCGTGGATGCTAGTCACTCTTAGTGTTGAAGGGTGTGGTCAAATGTGTCATTCCATTTCATTTTATATGCTTCTTCTGTTTTGCATTAGTTGTCAGAGTATTGAACTCCTAACTACCAGGGCTGTAGTGTAGCAGCACTCGGTGGCCCTTGGAGCCTTACTTTTGCTCTTGGGCAACTCAGGAATCTTAGCTTTTTCATACAAAGCATATGTTGGGCACCTGGGATTTCACAGTTTCAGAGCAATGGGGTCCCTTCAATTTTTCTTACAGCACAACCTTGGACAACTGTCATCATGATAACCCATGATTGCTGTAAATTGCCAAACTGTGAGATTCAAATTATCATAACTAACTGTTTGCTACACTCTTAGGAGTGCCTCGGCATTAGCACAACTGTATAGCACGTCAACTATGGAGCATCATCACTTTGACCAATGTATTATGATCATCAACAGCCAGGTAATTAACAATTATTCCATGCGCGTGCGTTGGATTTGAGATGATAGATAGCCAACAAGGCTTGTAGTGCCGAGTGGGCTATAATCATCTCATATCCAACAAGTGCAAGTGGAATAATTGTTTTATTCAAAACGTTATATTAAATTATTAAATTTTATTACATTTTTAGCTCCCTTTTTAATTTTAAGCTGACACGTACGCTTACCATATTTGTAGATTATGGTATATTGGCTCATATACCATAATGGCTAAGCCAATAAAAAGTCTTGAATTGCATTATCCAATGTTCTAGTTTTTAATAATGAATATTATCCAGTCTGAAAGGAAGATGTCACATTAAGTTAAGCTTAGATGCCTTGATATGTTTTGTAGTGAGCCTTACTCTGCGCAGTTCAGTTGCATTTTTGCTTGTATTTAATGTAGAATTTCTGGACCATCAAGAGTCTATTCTGCGCATATATCTTCCCTTTATTCCAGTTAAACCATGCTACTAGGATTATTAGTTGAGTGAGGCAAGGATAAGTTTGGTGCTGAGATTACAGTGTTGTCATAAGCAACCTTGTTTTAAATTGTTTAACTGAATCTTAGGAACAATATTAGTCACCAACCATCAAACTCCAAAACGTGCCAAAAGAAGTCAAACAACACATTGCCTTAGGAATTGGAGCTAGTTGCCTGTGTTAATAACTTGATTTTAACTTCAAAATGTGGTTGCCAAACTTCTGTTGCACCTCACTCTACTGAAAATGGTTGTATTTTATGTTTTGTGGAATAATGTTCACTGAGAGGTAGTAAATATTTTGCACTACACAAGTTCTACATTCCATGTTTTAATCTCTTTTACTTATCAAATATTATATTGCTTAATATCTCATTATAGGGAAATGAAATTTTTGGATCTCTCTCAGCTGAGGACTATAACAAAGTGATAAAACTTGTAGAACAAGCAATCATTGCAACTGATCTAGCCTTGTATTTCCAGTAAGTTATATTCATATATCCACTATCATTGACAGTATAGTGTTTGAACCAGGATGATGCACCTGATGCTGGTGTAAGTCCTTGTTGCACAGTGACAAGGAGACATTCTCATTCTAATATTTTGATGTCCAAGGAAACGGGCTGAATTTTTCAAGAAAGCTGAAGCTGGATGTGAAGATTGGTCATCTAATGAAAACAGGGAACTTTTGAGGTGTGAAGATAAATCCTTTATCTCATAAACTGCTTTGTTTTATGAGGATTTCTAGCACTGAGAAAAGATGTAACTGCACGCATTTAAAAGAATGATAATTTTTGTGTGTGTTAATATTGCCAATCGGCTGCTGATAGGTCACTCTACTTTCACGACACTCTGTCAGGTTGATGAATGCATAGCAAAGTGTTCATCACTCTCAAACCAAGGTTCACGTAGAAATTATTGTCAGTAAAAGCTTGATACATGGTTGCTTGTAGATATGAAACATTTCCTCTCATTTTCAACTCAAATCTCACCCATGAGATATCCAGTTAAACTTTCCAAAAAAAAAAAAAACATATCTTTGTGTGCCCGTAATTAACCCTTATTTCCCAAGATCAGTTTGTTAATTCTCCTCTCTAGCTGCTACGCATTTCCTTGTAAACAAGTTATGAGAATTTGGTGTTAGATCAAGGTAACAACCTCTTCCTAGATAATGTATGGATCTCATTGGGAGAAGCTACAAGTGCATCACTTCTGAGAGGTAAAGGGTTAATGTTTTCATTGTGGTGTTAGTTCAGTAACACTTTTTGTTTTACTTGTACAGAGCCATGATGATGACAGCTTGTGATCTTTCAGCCATCACGAAACCTTGGCCTGTACAAAGAAGGGTAAGGGGTTTTTACTGTGCAGTCATAATAGTCCATTTTACAGTTGCCTGCATGGTTGCCAATCCTTTGAACAGGAGAGAGGTGAAGGGTGATCTTGTTGCGATAGAAACATTGCTGCTTTTCAAATGCAAATTACTTTGTTATCATGCTAGCTAGATACTGGTCTTCATGGCAACAAGGTCACCTTTGGCCTCACTCCAAATCAAAGGTTTAGCAACTAAGTACACAACTGTAAAATATGGCCTGTTGCCAGGTTATCCATTGTGAAATTAATGGTTTGTCCAAGTGAAAGTGTTTCTGTGAGGAAAAATCTAGTAGTTTTTGTTCTTTATTTTGTATCAATGATTACACCTCCAATTAAAAACTGTTTTTTTTTTTTTTTCAAAAATAATTTTTGCACTGCCATTACCAGGTAATGTTTTATTAGTTTTGCCTTGTGAGAGGAACATTCATAGAGAATTGATGCAAAGATTTGCAAATTTTTTCCTTTTAACTTGACTAAATTCGCATATAGTGTGGTAGCTTGTGTGGTCAGTAGTTAGTTACCATTGTGCAACAAAATGTGCCATGTTCACATTATCAAGTTGTTCCAGCTTGGCTTAGGGGTGAAGGAATGAAGGGGTACGGCCCAAAAGATGAGTGTGGGAGGGATACTTTTCCTTTCTCCACACTCAGCTGGAGAAACTGAGTGAAACTGGAGTGAACAAATTTTCCCAGCCATAATATGAACTAGTTACCCAAGCAGTGGAAGGAATACTCTCACCGAGCTGATAAAACTGCGTTTTAATTTTCCCAATACAGACTGCACTTCTTGTAGCTGAGGAATTCTTTCAGCAAGGTGACCTTGAACAACAAGAGTTAAAATCCACACCCATGGCAATGATGGACAGGGCAAAGAAAGATGAACTTCCACAAATGCAAGTTGGTTTTATAGATTCTGTCTGTCTACCTCTGTATAAGGTGAGTACCACAGTTTGGCATCAATCCTATTACTTTCAGAAGAGGTTAACATATAAGTTCTCCTTGGAATTTTTTGCAGTCAAATCCTATCAATCCAAAAAGTTCAGCATTTATTATGCTTATTGATTCTGTAAATTTTGTTCAATTTTAGTTTGTTCTCACAGTTCGGTGTATAATCAGGTGCATCTTAAGCTTGGAAAACATTAAAAGGTTTTCATAATCTGTCATGGAAAGTCACAGAATTTTATTAAAACAAAAAGTAGTGGTACTGTTCCTTTAAGTTATGTCCAGGAATCATTATTTGTTGGCAAATAAACTACTGGCAATTCACGTTTATCTTTTAAGCTTATGAATAGCCATTGTCTTGATTTTGGCTATCAACAATTCCCAGGTTTTAAACAAGAAATCTTTGCAGTACAGTAATTTGTTAGAACTTGAAGGTTAGATGAACCTTTGAGTTTTCTTGCAGGCTTTTACACAAATGAGTCCAAAGCTAGCACCACTGAAAGAAGGCTGTAGAGAAAACAAATTACAATGGCAGAAACTAGCTGATGATTACAAGGCACAGGTGTGACAAAAGAAAACTATACATTTTGTTTATACTCTTATTACCATATAATTTGGATATATCAACAAAGTTGAAATGGTAAATTGGCCACCGTAACAATTACAAAAGCTGACGTTTCGAGCGTTAGCCCTTCGTCGAAGCGAAGGTATCTTTCACTCCGATGAAGGGCTAACGCTCAATACGTCAGCTTTTGTAATCGTTACAGTGGCCAATTTACCATTTCAACTTTGTTGATATATCCAAATTATTTTGTTACTCCCACCGACGCAGCCCCAAGCAGTTTCTTTCGAAACTATCAGCCTTTATTCACCCTTATTACCATAATTACACATCTTGCTACAAGCATTAGTGAAGACTGGTTTTTACTCAAAGTGGAGTTGGATTAAGTGAAGAGTTGAGCAATAATTTTGATGTAATAAAATAATTGATCTAGGTAGAATGCAGATGCCCCTTTCGACTTTAATTTGTTGCCTATAATCCAGGGAAACTATAATCTCAGAGTGATGAGTATCCAGAGGGCCTTTGGACTGGCTCTATGCTCAGATGGTTCTTCCTTTTCCAATTCCAACAATATACTATGATTTTCAGTTTAGTGAGGGGCAGTGGAAGTAGAATCTTGTTGTTGTCATCAGCAACTGGCTCTTTTTCCAGTGGCAATGTTTTGCTTGACTTCTTTTGGCGAGCTTTTATGTTTTACGATTGGAGACACATGGCTCTTGAGATTTGGTCATCACTGGAAATCCAGAACATTGCCCTCGACAACATCAGTATTTTGCAGTGAAAACCATGTCACAAAACATTTTTCCAAGCCTCACTCAACAGATAACCACTGATACAGTAGTTTTTTTCAAAATATTAATACTTAGGATGATTAAAAGTTGATTTCCCTACTTATCTCAATTGTTACAAGTTAACTTGCTCAGCTTTCGTAAATGAACTTATTGGATAATTTATAGAGAACAATATCGCCATCAAGGGAGTTAGAAAATTTGAGTCATTGACCCCTAAAAGAAGATGTCAACGAGTGCCATACTGGTATCAATCAGAGACTTTCTTTCTCGTTGAATGACTTTAAAAAAGATTTTGATTCTCAACAACTGCATGCTTGGAATTTTCAATCAATTCTTTTTTCGTCTTCTTTGTATACAGATTGAGAACACAGTGTGGAGAAAGAGATGAGATCTCCGATAATGTAAATACTGAACATTTGCTATTATTTTTATTTGCTTGATAGCCTTAGCTGAGCTGTGAGCTTGCATGATCTTTGTAATACATAGTAAGTATTTTTACAAACATTATTTTTTTTTCACATCCCATTCATGGCAATCATTCATTAAATGTTAATTTTTTTTTTCTTTGTCTACATGAAATGATTATTTTGTTCGGTGTTAAAAGAAAATTTAGATTAAAAGTAAATAAAGATTAATACATAATGTAACAAATTAAGTTGTATTAATACCTAACTTAACAACACTTACTGGACCTATTTTAGGATAATTTAGGAGATGACTTAACTAATCCAGACCTCTCAAGTCTCATGATTTTGTCTTGAGACTCACGATGTTCAGTTCAATCTCACGGCCTCACGACAAGACAGACAAATCTCACGATAAATAGAGCCAGGCGCAGGCTCAGTGAGTTTTTTTGTGCCAATTCTGTGCAAATCCATAGCAAACCAAGCTGTTATGTTCTTCATCCGTCTGTTCGCTAGAAACCCCATGAGTCGTCCATGACCATATGTAGAACACCTGTTCCAAATTAGGTCATCATAACCAGTCTCTCGCATTTTGACAAGACACGTTATCAAAATGGCGGCAATTGATGAACCTGATGAATATGTGTTGTTAATGTCCACACATGTTTTAAGTAAATTATGAGCAGGACAAAAAACACTTTCTCTAAAGAACCTGTGTTTACTTGGTTTTGTCTGCCGGTCGACCAATCTCCAGATTTTTACTGAAATCTCCAGATTTTTGTTTACACCAGTCTCCAGATTTTTGGTGTTTTGAGGTTGAGAGGTCTGCTAACCATAAATCATAAATAAGTGTAGAGTTAATGTTATCCTTCAGCCTGAGAATAACATCATCAAAGGTTTTCTAACAGTAGCAATGAATTGCCTGACTTTCTTAAGGTAAAGTATTTTTAAGGTTAATTCAATACAATAATTACAGTTGACCCTTTTATTGAAGTTATAAAGTAACAATTTATCAATAATGAATATGTAATTAATGTTGATTGGCATTGATATCAATTTTAAATTTACTTGATACTAATGTGACAATTATCAAGTTGTTGACAATTATCACTTATGCTTTTAAGTGCTGTGTATTTTTGCTTTATTCTGATAAATTTTTTATTTCTTTCTTGAGTTACAAAATCCAAACATTGAAGGGCATACCACAGGAAGCCTTCTCTGAATATTTTTTCCAAAATTTAATAGCTAGCTCTTGTAAGTTGGCAGCTCAGCTGAAAAGACATTTTATGAAGGAAGACACTCTACAAAAATCATCACAGAAACCTTCCTCCTTTCCCTTTAGTTAGTACTATACCCCCAAGTCATGTGAAGAAACAGGCTTCAAGGTCTCTCTCATTTCTAGAAGAAAATGTAGTTGATTGTGATGTGTCTGTGAAGTAGGGGTAATTTCAACCATTTTATAAGGGTCCTCCCTCGACATACTGTCGGGAAATTTGAAATTGGGTAAACTTCTGACTAGGGAGTTAAGGGGGGGGAGGGGTGGGTAAGGGGGTGATTGCTTACAACTGCCCCTCACCTCAACCAGCTTTGAGATTGTGAGTCTCTTGTTTGATAACACCTGCGATAACCTTTTAGTCACTGTAATTTTTTTCTTCTTTTTTAGCCTCCAGATAAGAGGAAATCAAACAGAAAAGTATGCTATCTCATGGGATGACGAATAGTATATCAAAAGCGTTAAAATAGCAATCTTGTAAATAGACATCATATGAATTTAATTTTTCTAGTAAATGGATAGTAAGATCATTGCCATTCGGTGTTTGTATAAATATTATTGTACATGGTCAAGTAAAACTATACCAGTGTCTGTTATATTTTCTCTATTCACAGTATCCAAGAAATGAGATCAAATTAAAGTCTTTACTGGTTACTATCAACAGGCTTAACAAGAGCTTGTACTACAGAGAATGGGTTCAGCCTAGGGGTAACATTTGATCGGGTGGTCTGATTGTCTGTGTGAGAATAGTCATAGCAAGAACTGATGTTCTTGATAGTGGGTGAAGTGTCGAAAGCCTGAGAAGTCGCCTCATGACTGTAATGATGACTTGTTGTTCAGGTTTTTAAAAAAGTCTTTCCCCATCTCAGTAGATACCTCAAGCAAACCATGACAGTGACAGCCACAAGGATGTGGCAAAACAAAAAGATTTAATGGCGTGGGCAGAACAGTAGCTTAGCATGGGCATTTTTGACTGTCTACATTTTTTTAGCCATCCCCTGCTTATAATTAACAATGACATGAAATTGCCGAAGTTGATGTTGTCTGAGAACAGAAACCCCACCACTAAATCATTTAAGTTTCCATTTGGAACTCAATGTTTCTCCTTTACATTATGCTGAAGTTGAGGAGTGGCAGCATATAAGAGGTGATAAACACATCCAGCCATTAATATTCTTGAAATTCTACTAAAAAATATTGATGTCTTCCTGGGCGTTGCCATCCTGACTGCTTAAGGTTGCCAATGACAGTCTTTTTGCAGTACTTTTCTCACTTGGACAAGTAGACCACATGATCAACCGAGAGAAGATCTCCTCAGAAGGTATCATTATTTTGGCACTAATTGAATTAGAACTACCAGAGCCACTAAGTATCTTTGAACTAGACAGCAAAGTGTTTGTTGGTGTACTGGAAGAATGGTGGCTTTAATTATATATAGCCAAATAAGAAATGAAAGAGGACTTCTTTTCTGTCCTTCTAGTAATGGAACCATTATTTTCAAGCCAGTATAAACTAAAATCAATTATATATTTTTCCCCCACTTGAAATTTCAGTCAAAGCCATATCATGTTGATCCTCATTATGCAGTGAAACTACACTTCATGATCACTCTCAACCTATAACGTGGATTAAGTGAACTGGGAAAATTTAACCTCGTGATAACCTCACGAAACCCATTGTGTTTGCTGTCTCTATACTTCTAATGGCAGCTAAATGTGCACTGGTCTTTCTTTTTTTCTTTCTGTTTTCTTTCTGTTTTCATTTAACAATAATGCCTTACTTTGAGATGTTAGACTAGTGCCCTATTCACTCCAGCAACACATCTATAGTTTAACCTGGTTTGACAGAAAAAAAAACCATTAATAGAAAACTTATAGACTATATCTTACAAAGGGTTCAAGTAATAAGGAACTTCTACTTTCATTCTTCTATTTTCAAATCTGAAGCCGGCATCATTAGTTTAAACAACTTTAATGACAATAACAGTTTCTGTGTTGGACAGAACAGCTGTAAAATGTACACGTTTTAGTTAAGGAGTGAATAGGGTTTAGGATTTCACCTTACCCTTTCACTTTCTTGATCTTAAATCTAATTTTTTCCAGCTGGAGAGTGTCACTGCATATCTTCTACTCTTTTGGAGGAACAAACTCAACTTTAAAAATTTTCTTCCTGAATCTCTGTTGTGCCTTTTAAACAAAGAACTTTACTGAGGTTGAATGTTCCCTTCTTATAAAGGCCCAAGGTAATATGTGTGTCAGAAATTAATCATGAAATAGGTTCCTCTAACTAATGACAGGAATGAGATTGCTTTCACTGCTACCCCTAAGTCTTTAACTGATCATTTACCAGACTATTGATTCATGATTCATAAACTTAAATTGAAGAGTAATATATGAACCTGTAAAGAAATTTATTATTTAATGGAGGGTCCAAAGGGGTAACTACTTGATATAATTGAAGAGTCAAACACTATCTTAATGTGGTAAAATTCACCTTTCATCTTGTCAACATTTTGTAGCTCAGGGAGAGACACTTAAATCTGTGCCCCAAGTCTGGTAACACATAAGACTGAAATGGGCAGTATTGTCACAAAATGATAATTATAATTTAAAGAAATGCTAAACTTTAAAACTGGACAAGTCAAACTCTGAATAAATAATTTGTTGGCCTTTCTTATTAACTTTTCCAAGGATTGTTACCGGTTGACATGGTGATGTAAGAAAATTGTCAACTTGGGTTAGTAAAACACAAAATTGCCAGAAAACAGCTGACTTGAAGCTGCACTTTTGTAGTAAATTATTATTCCACTGCTAAGTCAAGCCTTCTAGCTCTTAATATCTTAAGCTCATTTTGCTTCAGTATGTTACTTTTTTGAACTTTTTGTCGGCACTGACATGTTCACAAGCAATGGTACTGGTATAAATGCTTTTAGCCTTTTTATTATGTTTCACTTGGAGTACTTTTTATTTGCATATTTTTTTATCCACATTATATTATACATGGTTGAAAGTCAGAGGTAACTTCAATTAATCTAATGACTCCAAATAATTTATTCTTTCCGAGATGAATCATGAATTAAAAGATCTTGTTGAAACCTGGCTAAAAGCTTCTTTATGGGAAGAGAAAGATTTAATTTATAAGTTCCAAAATCATTATTTTTCCAGCCCATTTTAATCTATCATGATGAAGCCACCCACCAACAAATGTATGAACTTAATTAAATGATGGCACCTTGCTAATGGGAAGTATGGATTGTATACTGCTCAATACAGTATACTGAACTAAATTTTGATAAATTATTAACTCATAAAGAAACCTTTGAGTATGGTGTTTCATGTTTAGAACTTTTTAGCTAATAAAGAGTTACCGTAAAAGCTCAATTTAGCATCTAGGGTGATTAGGAACAGGGTAGTAGTAGTAGTTGTAATAAACTTTATTTTCAGCTTGGATTGAAGAGTAGCCCATAAGGGCTAGTATCTCTTGAGATATCTCCATGGGTGCTTATTTTCTTTGAGAAACAATGCAGTGTGCAAAACAAGGCTCTGATTTTTATCTGTAAAAGGAACTATGGCAGAAACTGTAACAGGAACAAATATACAGTGAATAATTGCAGGGAATGAAGTGTTACAGAAGTAGTGCCTCACTGAAATAGAATTAGGGAAGCTTGTTGGAGGAGAGGCACTTGTTTGAATGAGGGTGTTAATGAATTAGGGGCACCTATTAGAGAAAGGGCACTTATCACAATTGGCATTTAATACAGAAAAAATCCATGGCACCATAGGGTCCACCATATTTTCCAAAAGGAAAAAATGCCTGGGCACTTATCTGAAATTTTGACTTGAAGGAGGGCTCTTGACCAAGGTGGGTGCTCATTATTCTCCTATGTTAATTCCGCATCAGTTGAAGCTAACAAAGGTACCCTAATAAATAACAGTGAAAATAGAAATAGGTTTTCAATGTGCCCCTACCATATATAGGGCTCTGCTTATTCAAGAGGGGTGCTTGTATGACATTATGCCCAAGGGAGTGGGTGCTTATTAGAGTAAATGTGGTATATGTTAAATGGACAGTACTGCTTCTCTAAGTCTTCAATTTTTATTCAACACATCACCTTACAAATCAAATTCAGTTTCAATAAATTTGTCCCTATGTGTGTTCACTCAACTACTTTTGCACCTTTTAATTCACCCAACTGCTATAGATACAAAAGATGTTATTAAGATCATGTAAGCTTCATTATAAATGTAGTTTGATTGGTTCTTACTTATGATCTATTGGAGAATAAGGTGCAAAGATGAAGTCACCACTGACGTCATTTTGCTTCTTTAACATACTAAACAAAAAGGATCCATGTTGCTGTGGGTCTAATTAGTAATAGATCAAAGACAGCATCAAAATTTGGTAAGAATGTCATTGACACACAGCTGCGTCTTGTGTGCCACATTTTTGTTCTTGATACTAACATTAATTGTGACGTCCACTGTGATCTATCACTGAACAGTTGCATGGCAACAAGGAATACATTTGTTAATTTGATTTCTTTAATTAATGACAATGTATTTTCAAATATAACTTAACTGCATTCTGGTAACTTTTTTTAAGAACAGCTCACTTTTCTTAGCTGTGTCTTATTTTCTTTGCATCACCAACAAATTTCACAAGAAAAACCACACTTTTAATGTCTCCAAAAGTGCACATCTTCACACTACGGTCTTTGTAGTAAATGAATCAGATGAGAAAAGGCCAATATCTGCATGCACACTTAACCTATGAGTCCTTTGCATGACAGATTCTCTTTAAATTCCAAGTCTGTGGATGACAGTAGTTATGGAGGGTTATCAAATGGTACAATTTCTATCTCCCTGCACTTTTTCTTGACTTCAGGTCTGAGGGCTTGACTGTTGTAATACCATATGGAATCACCTCCTTTGTTGAATTCTGGTAATTTGAACAAAATACATAAAGCTGATTATATTACTTTTTTGATCTTTGACTTTTCAATCAACTGTGAAAAATTTCATGGCTGGCATGACGTGGCTTTTTGTCTCTGCCAAAAGACCTATGGGATCTTTTTTTGAAAATTTTCAGCAATCTCATCAAGCATTACGCTCAAAGTCCTGTTTGTGAAATCATAAGTGCTAAGCATATTGAGTCTCTTGGGCAAGATGAAATGCCAAGTCATACCAGCCACAAAAATCTTTCACAAGTATTTTATGACTTTTCAATCACATCTGCAATATTGCCGTTACTGGTATCAATTGAAATCATAAAACTCTTTTTACTCCATACCTCAGAATTAAATTTTGGGAACTATTAAGTTCAAAAGATGTTCTCTATAGTTGAGCAAACTGTGTTGTGGTGGCACGTAGAGCTTGAATACCAAGAGGGTGCAAGGTAAATATGATACTTGTTTCATGGTCAGTGTCTTCTGTGAATTACATGAAAGAAAATGCTCAAACTTTTTCCAGATCAATGTTTGAACCAATAATTTTTAAAGCTTATAAATGTGTTTCTGAGGATTCTCACTTTAATACCAATAGAACTTGAAAACCATTAAATAAATAGTGTATACTATGAACCCTACATATTATTTGATAAAACTGTTCAGTATATAGTAAAGCAGTGGAAAGTGTTGAAGGCACACTCTGATTGGCTACCCAACCTTTGAATATCCTTTGCTTTTCACCTCCAAGTGATTTGTGAGATTTGCACCCAAAAATATTGTAATTGTTGCAGGAATAAATGAGTTCTCACTTTGAGCTATTCGCCTCAGTTTCAATGGTAAGCAGTGAACATTTACCTTGCCACTTTAATTTGCAGCTTGGTAAATGTCCACCACTAGCCACCTACACTTCAGTGTATGGTAGTTGAGTAACAAAGATTATCTAAAATAATCCATTGAAAAAACTGACACCTAAAATGAAGGAAACCATTATGAGCCACTTCACCACGAGGATAGCAATTAGGAAGGAGGGGGAAGTTGGGGGGGGGGTATCCCGTCTCACGCAATAATTTTACAAAAATTGACACGTCACGTTTGCATTAAACAATACTTAACGCTTTACGAATTTAATGAAAACTTCAAATTTCATCTTACTTGCCTCTCTTCGAAATTGATGCATCACGTTTAAACAGTACTTTACGAATTTCAAGGGGAAAACTTCAGATTTCACCTTACTTGCCTCTCTTCGAAATTGACGCACACGTAATAATTTTTGGCGGAAAGATTTCCGTGCAACACCGTACCAATCAAAAACAAAGCCGAAGTCCCAAAAGTAATCTGTTGTTTTGCCTGTTTTCTTTAATCCAAGAATTGTATGTATAATGAAGTAGGGGGTTATAAGGAAATCTTGCCAAAATATATTTCTGCAAGCTATGGATCGAAAGTAGTAGAAGTCCAAAGTACTTGGCTGTGACTATCAATATCACACTGTCCTCTATTTTGCGTTTCTATGATTGATTGCATTCCAAACTGGAGCTTTAAACATAAACAAATCTCAACCACGAAAACTTTAAACTTACCGTTTCCCCCTCTAAGCTCGAGGGGCTGCCCGGCAAGTTTAGCGAGATTTCCACTGGTGACACTTGAGCAGTGTAAATAGTTGTTCGACTTTTCGCCAAAATGCACGTAAAATGACCCTTTGACTCCAGTTACTTTCTTGATACTTTGACTTATAACTTTGGCGTTGGCGTTGAATGGAAACTTCACTGTGTGTTGTTGACCATTATAAACAACCGTGATTGACTCAAGCTCTTCATTAGCTTTCTCAGTCTCGTGTTGTTTGCGTTGTTTTGTAGTTATACTTTTCGAAGTGTCACTCATGATTAAAGTTCACTAGCAGCTTTCTGTAGTTCGACCCAAGAGAATATTCAAGATCCAAGTGCTACATCAAACATTTGATTCGAGAAGTGGCGATCCCGAGGGATACTTCGTCCGCCGTTTAAACAAAACTACTATTTTACAACAACAAAAGAACGCAAACCACGAGATGGTCCAAAGGTTACACAATTTAATATTATACAAGAAAGAGCAAAGCGACCGAATCTCAGCGGGGTCCCGTAGGTAGCGTTTTGTTCAAAGAGGGAATCGCCGTTCGGTTAGCTACAAATTTTTGTTGTAGGAATTCCCTTTTCTGCAATAGTGACTATTCTCAAGCTCCATATCTCTTGGAGAAAAGCAAAACAAAACAAAACAAAACGACGAAAAAGGGAAAATTTACAGAGGCGGAGGGCTGAGTGTATGTGGTGGTCTCAATTTTTTTTTCACCAGGAGTAGGGGGGAAAAGGGAACGGTTGTCAACCATGAATGTTCATTTCAGTCTTTCTGTTTCAATAATGCAAAACTGCATTGTGATTAAAAATTCTTATTTAAAATGAGTTTTGTAATAATGAGAACTACACAATAAAATTATCTAAAAAGACAGAGTAATTGGGGTAAATTTTCTAACTTTGGTGCTGTGTTGGTGGGGGGGGGAAACAGGTTGTTGAATTGCAAGATAAACTAGTTTTATCAACTCAGTCGCTAATGTAAATTGGCTACTGCTAAGAGTTTCTAAAGCTGACAGTTCAAGTGTTAGCCATTTTTCATGACGAAAGAACACAGAGTCAGAGTGTATGATACAGTACAGACAAGCAAAAACTGTTTTATTACACACAGGTCATGGGCTACATCCTGCATTAGTCACATCTGCCTTGCAAAAAGATGCATGCATGCAAGAAGGATACTACACTATATGCACCACCAGCTAACAAATTTACAGCTACAAGAGTATCTAAAATCATAACAGATTTTTTCAACTCACCAAACACTCTAAATTTGAGATCAAATGCAGCAATAAACCTTAAATTGTTAAGATTATCCTTCAAAGAGTTTGTGTTTGGAATTTGGAAATTTCTAAGGGTAGAATATTGTACGTGATCAGCTCTACGACCTTCAACCTGAAATATGATTGTTAAATGGATTGGACGGAGGACATTTCCTGCTCATTCTGACAATACAGTTATAAGATAATTTTGATATCAAATTATGTGTAAACAAACTTACATTTTATGATAACAAGGCTTTAAAACTATTTCCAAAGTATGAACTTATAAGAATTATTTGCTTCTCAAACATTCTCACAATTTCCTGTCCTGTGGGTATAAGAATTACTAGATTTAAAATTTCACAGTGATTGGAATTTTTCTTATGTGCCAAAAATTTTCTCCATCAACAAAAGATTAGGAGGTGATATATCCAAAGCAAGAAAAACAGACAAAAACAATAACAAACAGAATATCCAATGATGACGAACATCGACACAGATGGAGAAGTTCAAATAGCACAAACTGCAACAAAGCTAAATAAAACATGTTATTTCAGTTTAGTCATGGATGTCATCAACAACCAGTTTTGTCAAGCTAGAAAATTCTCATTCACTTGACCCATCACAAGGCAACTGTCACGTAGTATTCTTTCCTGGTGACGTAGATCTCTCTGGCAAATTTTGTTCTTCTTTTCTTCGGACATGTGGACAAAATTGGCATTGATCACTCCTTGTGTGTTCTTGCTAGTTCGTCCCATACTATTTAAGTATCTTTCTCTCTTCCTTGTCTTTTCATGCTCTTTCTCAGCCATTTCATATCGATGTCTTTGCTCTTCAGACCTTCTTCTGTCATCTTCCAGTTGCTGAAAGAAAGAGTGTAAATATCTGGTAAAAAAAAGAAGAACTTTAGAGCCATGAGTGGGTGAGAGATAAAGAGAGAAAAACGCTGTCATAACAGTTGATGAGCACAATGATGGTTCTGTCCTCATGTACCGGTTCACAAGAGCCAATACAAAAGACCAAACAATGCACAATAGCTAACCGATCACTCCTAAACAAACAAAGAACAATGGTAATTCCCTTGTGAACCGGTACACCAGGACAGAACCACAATGATCAAGCTCCCCTGGCCCGTGTATAAGCAAGTGCAGGCCTGGCTAGTGAGTTGCAGCTAAAACTTGTTCAAAATACTTAACTGCAGCCATGTATGAAAATGCCTGCTTAACCAAGGTTTCACTACATTAAACTAAACACCTGCGAGCGTAGCAGCTGGCTAAAGACTCCAGCTATACACAAGTTTTTTGTGTGTATAAGCATTCCATAAAGGAATAATTAGCTAAGAGAAAGTAGACTAACTGCTCTGTTAGAAAAATAAATGTTCCAAATTAAAATCGTCACTGTCCCTTCTCAGTGCTATGTGTTTTTAGCTTTGAATGACTTAAAGATCCACCTTCAAAGGGATAACAAGTCGTCAAAGTATTATAAAAACAAAAAACAAAATTCCTGTTTGTTGACAAAATTCACGACTCGTCCGCAAAACTCGCTCACGTTATTGCCTCGGGCACTACAGCAGTAAACATCAGAGTTAAATTTGAGAAGCGTACAAACTTCCTTAAATAATTTTACACTCTAAAAAAACTACACCATCGATAGGGAATTTTATGGATTAAACATAACAACACAATCATTCTCTGCGACTCAAAGCTATCGAACATTCCGCTCGTAGTTTATCAACAGCTATTTACCAAACTACTCGAATTTCAATGAGGTTCAGCTATGAGTTCAACGCAGAATTGTAAGCCTTTCTGAACACAGTTAATTATCGATTAGAATTCTGAATTACTAGTTTATCGTTTAATAGAGATGTTCGACGACTTAACAACCGTCAAATATCAGCGCGAATAATTTCGTACTCGCAAACACAAAACATGCCGGGCAAAAGGCAAAGAACTCCAAACCTGTCGAATAGCGATCCTTGCTAGGGCTGCATTCTTTTTTTCGATGATTCTTTGCTTTCGTAAGGCTTCGTTATGGTATGCTTCAGCCATTTTTCGTTAATGAAGAGATATCTGCGATGTTCTCCACGATTCGTGATGCTATTTCAGAGTATAAACACTTTCCGTCTGCCAAGAATTTGTTGCTTCTTTGGTATCTATGGACGAATGCTCTTCGCAGAGCATTCTGGGATGCAAAGGGTTTTCCCTTTCATTCGAACACCTGTTCATTTTATTTCGCGAATTTTCCCCGAGCATGCCAACTATACAAAACATTATAACCAAAGGACTTTTTCTGATTTTCGATATCTGGACTGAATTTGATCGTTCTGAAATACATGTCCTCGCTAATAACAAGAATCCACTTCAAATAATTTTTATAAAATGTAAGTGAACGAAATTATCATTGTTTTCTTACTATTCAACCGAAATCTCACCTGCCCGTTTTCAATCCTTGCTAATGCTTCGTACATTTTGTCGATAATCTTTTGTTTTCTTAATGCTTCGTTGTGATAAGCCTCTGCCATTACTTTATGGATAGGATCAACGGCGCCGCATGATTAATACGTCAACAACACCGACAATTAGAGCAGCTTTTGTTATTTCAAGCGAACTTAAGTGACAAGCCTGGGTATTAAACCATACAATCCTTTGATAAGTGGAAGGTTGAAAGCATCGTCAAACTCATAATCACTAAATAAGCCCATCCGCCTTTCTGACGTCAAATTGAATTCTTTTTGTTGTTAATCCGGGAGAAGACGTATGACGTCATAGTAATTGTAATTCGGACTGAGTGGAGTCGTCATACGAGGGTTAACAATATCGGATCATCGCCAAGTGGGAGTCTGATTCGTTAATTACACGTATGATTTCGCACGACACGAATCCCTCTTACCAATTAAGAAACCTTTGACACAATCTGAGAAACAAACAAGCCAACGGTTACACGTTTTCATAAAAAAAAAAGACAAAAAACAGTTAACCTGTCATAATGCACGACAACATGCCGCACGCATGACGCATACTGTCCAAGTACACAGGCATGACGCGTAGATTGTGCTCAAATCGGGCTGATGATAACCAATCACGTTGGAGAATTTTGTTGATGTCTATGGTGAGTAACTTTCTTGGTTTTACTTGACAAGCGCACTTGCTAAGGAATTGAGCAATCGCTGTTGTCTTTGGCAACAGAACGCGGATTTCTCACCAGCGCGCACCAAATAAACTCATTTGCAAAATCGGATTGCATAATTAAGGTTAAGAGTAACCAATTTTTCTTACTTTTGTACAATTTGTGCTACAGCATCTGTAAAATATATATTTTATTTCGTCTATTTAATGCAATACCAGGGTTGATGACCCGTCAGTAGGCAGCTTTAGAGAATGCTACCACTTCATCGCAACTCATCGCAGTTTTGGACCTAGGGGGGTATACGGCTGGAAGGTCCAGGTTCCCACCCCCATCTCCTCTCCGTCACAACTCTGGGTGTTTTTAACACTTGTCTGACACCAAAATTCTTGCAATAACAAGATCCCAGTAGCTTACTGGAGCCATAATGTCGAAAAAGAAACTGCGTTTTCCAAAAACCGTTTGTGAGGAAGGGCCGTTATGTGAGTGCAACACGACAGCCTCATAAAAGCATGCGTTTTACTTCAAGCGTTATGAGATATATATTGCTGAGCGCCCGCCGTCAAAGTCGTGGGCAGAAAATAAGACCATTTAGAGACCGGTCATTGTAAATCAGAGGGGGCGGGGAGGGAGGGGTGGGTCGGTGAGTTTTGGTTATGTCACGATGAAATTTACTTGAGCCCCTCATAAGGCTCTGTAATATTTCTCTCACCCCTCTCCCCTTCATTATTGGCAGTTAAGTAATTGGCGGTCAATTTTCTATAGTCCTCCACAATTACAATTACAATTTATCACTTATAGAGCGCTATTTACAATGACAGATCAACAGCGCTTTACAATCAATCCTAACCCGCCCATCCCACCCCAGGGAG